TCATGTTATGTAAGTGTCTTAATAACTGAGGACTGTCAGTAACCTGTGCTTTGACTTTTTCTATCATCTTACTCCTATGAAGAACCTTGGTTCTGATGGAGAAAGAGTGAAAAGCATCATCTACACAAATACCTTTATATTTCCATTGTATTTTTGAGTTGTATACTGTGTTCTACAGACTCTTTATTGTTGTCACAAACACAGTTGGTAATTCTTAAATTGGCCCTGCCTGCCTCTAGACAGAAACATCTATACAGATTCTGTGGGTATTGAATGCTTTCTAGTAAAACGGTCACAATAAAGTGAGCTTATGTTTTTCTGAAATTGGTAACAGAATACACAGTATACTCGCTCAGGCAAATAGGCCTGTTTGAATTTAACATTTGATTCAATGTATATATCTAGTATTGTGTACCACATGTTTGCTTACTCTAGTTTGGGTCCATTTAAAAGATATGTTACACAGAAAATCTGAGCAATTGATCCTATTTGTTTCTTGATCACAGATTTCAACAGCCCAGAAAAGGACTCCACTTATTCCAACTGATATGTTTTCCTTAGTCGCTGTAAGAACTCAGCATGTAAAATACCTTTTGTAGTTGTAGTCCTCTGAAAAACCTTGAAGCATGGAGTTGAGGCAAGAAATGGTACTCACTGAAGTCAAAATGACTGCCCACTTCAAATCTTCATTGTGTGTACACATCAGTGTATTTATATAAAACAGAAGCATTTTGTAGATGCTTTGCTGACTAATTCATCTCTTTGGAAACACAGAAATCAGACCCGTTTTGTAAAACAGAAAATCATATCCCTTAAAACATGTCCTGTATATATTCCATTTGGCTACATGGCAACGGAGTCTTAAAGATGAATGCAAGGTGATAATTTAATGATGGAATTAGCCTGATCACCTAATAATGCAGGATCCTGGAAGTGAATTACTTGCATCAGATGTAATGATATTTATTATTCTGTACAGAGAGAAAAATACATAGAAAGCATACACTTGCTTTACATGCATATAGATTTCATGCTCCATAAATCTTTTCTATTTTTTAATTTACCTTTCTCTAAATGATATGCCTAGAATATGCCTTATTACGGAGAAACGCTATTCATAATCTGACCATGTAGAAAAGTGCCTACATGGTGGTGAGGCTAACAAGGCAAACAAGACAAATTATCATACCAGTTTTCTACTTCACCAGTTAACATTTTATATTGTGATGCTTGAAAAAAATGTTTATACCTCAAATGTGTATTTTATTTTACAATCAGCTGTGGGATTGGGCTGGGACAATGGGAGTGCTTGGGAGGGCAGTTCATTCACTCATAGGCATAAAGGGAATCTTCAGTTAAGTCTCTGCGCCCACTGTGTATCTGTTTGCCAGGTCTGGTAACATCGTGAACAAAAAGACAAGTTACTCTTTCATAACTAAATTGGATAACTATATTTTACAAAGGTATAGAAGATTTACAAAGCAGTATCAAAACCTAACTATCATTAGTTGCATTTACACTGTGATGATATACTTTTTGTAATTTATTCTGTACATAAGATGATTACATTAAAAATATTTGTATAAAAAAGCATGAAAAGATAGATGTTACCTTTAGCTAACTATACTAGTACTTTATGGGAGTTAATTCTACCTGCCCAATCAGATTTAGAAGTGAGTTCAGGAGAATGGATAGGTTTGAGAAGAGGTGAAGTTGGAAAGGTATTGGCCTTAGACAGTATTTCAGCCCTCTAGGGTTGTATTCACTGGGCTAATTCCTACATGCTGAATATTCATTTTCTCATCCACAGATAATTTCCTTCCCACAAGCACAAAGAAAAGAAAAATTACCCTTTTACTCTGTATCCTACTCAGTCACCTCTTTGTGCTGTGTTGGTAACCTGAAAAATATTGGTGATCAGTGCTTTTGTCCCTGAGTGTTCATTGAGCAGGACGAGAGAGCAGTTTCACTTGGAATTCAGGACTGGATTGGCAGTGGAGGAGGAGCAGCAGTTAGTTTGAGATTGTGGCCTAAGCCAGACCCAGGACAGGAAGGAGGGAAAGGGTAACAAAAATGAACAATGCATTTCCCACTTGTTCACTTTCATCAGCTAATTGTACGCCTGTACATGAGTGTCAGTTGCTATTCAGAAAATTTTAGTTGGACCGAGCTGGCTCTCCTGTGAAGTTATGCTTGTCATCTCTAATCTTATTAGTTGTTTGTCCAGTTGAAACACTTCACCAGCATTTAATCTGGGTTGTACTGATGGTGTATTAGGCTTTTGTCATTGTTTATCTGCAGACTCAAATCATCATTTTAAAGTACCTTGGGAGTGTGTATAATAGCTTTACGATTCTGATGTTTTTTTAAAAAATAATAAAGTTGGATCTTCCATGTTACAATCAAGAAATTTAAACCAGTATTTAAAAGTGGAAAAGTATTAAAATATTATGGACAAAAACTATTCCAATTTAATTTTATAGTCATTAATTAGAATCAAAATCAGTCCACATAACCTTTCCACAGTTTCTCTGGCTCCTAATTCTTTTCTTAACAAAACAAAACAAAAAAAATAGAACTACTTTGTACTAAGAGTGGCAAAAAAAATCTCTATGGCAACATGAATAGATCTTAGACCATAGTTATTACAATTTCAACCCTTTTATAGTAAATGGCACTTTCACTAAAAATAATGATACCTTCACAGAGTGGACAGTGGGAGAACTGTCACTCAGTCAATTCTTATTTAGAAAAAGATTTTAAAAGAAAAATCTTATTTTGAAACATAAAGGTCAAAAAACACTTCTCTTAAAATAAATGTCTGGGTTTTATCCTGCATCAATCACATATTCCTTTATGCTATGACTCCCTTTGGAGACTTAATATCTCCAAACATACTGCCAAGCAAAAACTCTGAAAATGTCTTCATTGATTGGCTTCCCTGACCAGTGAAAAATTATATTTCTATTGGAAATGCCCATCAAAGCTATTTGTAATACTCTCCTAAAGGTCCAATCTGTAATCATCTACTAAACTTCTCTACTCTAAGAACAAAATAAATTAGATGACTACTTATCTTTTTCAGATTTTATATTATCCTATTGTAGAATCTTGGACTATGGACCCAAAAAGAATTGATGTTTTGTATTTGAAACCTTTCCCCTGAGGATATTTAGATTCTTAAAGAAAGGGAGAATAGGCTTCTCACACTACTACAAATTTGTTCTATTTGGTTTAAATATTTACGAAATCTGCTTCCCATTCAGCTTCTGGAGACAACAGTAAAATATATTGGATATGTAAGAAATTTGCACATGCTTATTTGTATTAAAAGACATAAATAGCATTCTCCCTTCCTTTTTTGTCAAAAGAGAACTATTTAGTGGACAAAGTGCTCTTTAATAATTGTCCTGTCTCCAAATCATCTGAAATTTCCAATTTATATATTTGTTCCTTTTTGAAGGGGTGGATATAAGGTCTTGGTATATACTCCAGACCAGGCCTGAACTCACTATGTAGTCTCAAACTCATGGCAATTTTCCTGTCTAAGCCTCCCGAGTCTTAGGAATGCAGGTGTGCATCACCATATCTGATATACAGATATAGATATAAATAAATATAGATACAGAGACAAAGATAAATAGGTATTTGCTCTTTCTTAGTCATAGTCTTGCCCTTATGTAAATTGTAAAATTCAAGTAAGAGTGAAGTATTAATAAATGAAAATACCCAAAGCTATAATACCTTTAGAAGAATCTCTTCACTGGCTTATTTTTCAATAAGATAACAA